GTTGAAACAACCCTATAGAATACTTGATGCTTTAAACTTTAGGACATTTGAGATATTCATGGAGGCTTATTGTGGAGGTTTTAAACTTAGGACATTTGACATTCATGGAGGCTCAAATATGAAATGCCTAATTAACTTTCTTTATTTTTTGATCTTCTTTTGATGACAATGAAAAACCACATCCACGACCATTGGTTTGTAAATTCCCAAACTTAATAAAATCAACTAAAAACTGTACTAGACAAATATTATGTGACATACTCCATTATAATACGCACACAATATATCATAGCTTTGACATGATTTATAAGGTCAATAATATAAATATTCTCGGCCCTTTTCACTCATTGTCTTGCAAAAGAACAAATTCAAACTTTTGTGAGTAGTCAACTTTACCATACTTTGAATCTTTATATGTAGCCATTCAAAGCACTCAAAATTTCCACACGCAATCTACACATATATAAAAAAATGATTCATATTAAAATAAATGAATAGATAGTAACTATTGAATAGGACATATCAACACTCTAAAGCTGGTCAAAAGCTTCAGCACTGGTCAAAAGGGCAGTGGCATTTCTATAATTATGTATACTTTTGATTTTTAACGTGAGAGTATTTTTGTCATTGCGCATAATACACTATTACACTAATGTGCATTTAAGCTAACACAATTCTGTAGCGCGCTGACATTTTGGTAAATTCATGAACTTTTAAATATAAAGATGGCGAAAATTCTATAATTTCGTAAAAATATATTGGTATTTTTAATGTGCATATCTACGCCCAATTATGTGCATTTCATTTAATATTATTGTGCATTCATTAAACTTTTAATTAATTATAAATTTACACAGGACCTAAAGTGAAATATATATTTCTTCAAACGATATAATTATACATAACTCAAAATAACAAGTACAACTGAAATGTCAACTGGCATGAGAAATTAAGACCAGGACAAGCTTGGACTCAAATTCTCTTGGACTTACATAGAGGCAAGGGAATAGCCTACAACTAGAACACTTTAAAAAAGGAAAATACCAAACTCCCTACACAATAGAAGAACCCAAATACAACCAGGACTTCTTAAAAAAAAAAATAATAAACTAAAATAAAATAATAACACACACCTACAAACAATAGAATAGAATGTCCCCTGCCTGTTACGAGCACATCGCTACGACCATGTGAACCAGTCTATCGGCCAATCCCCTCAACAAAAAGACCAAAATGAGCTGCAAATCATTACTAGAATATGAATCATCAAGAACAAAAAATTCCGTTGGTTAAAGTTCATTTTCCGTTGCTAATAAATAATAGGAACAAAAAATTCCGTTTCATTATTGGTTAGTAAAAACAAGGGTTCTGATGCTCAGAGACGGATTCCGTTCCGTTGCTATCAGTAACGACTTTTGTAACAAGCAAGCCGTTTCTAGTCTTCGAGAAATAGCAACTAAATTAGAAACGAGACTATTTGTTACTAATTAATGAGTAATAGAAACCAAATTAGAAACGGGAATATTTGTTCCTAATTATTCAGTAATAGAAACCAAATTAGAAACAAGATTATTTGTTCCTAATTATTCAGTAATAGAAACTAAATTAGAAACGAGATTAGTTGTTCCTAATCAGCAATAGAAACCAAATTAAAAACGGATTGTTTTGTTCTTAATATCTTAATATTAGTGACAATTATAATATAATGGCATATTCCATTTTTTATTGTTGCATTCAGTAAAATTGTTTTGCATCAAATGAATTCATTAATACCACTAAAAATAAGCAAGCAAGATTAAAGAAAAATAAACTAAAATACAATTATTTTATTTCATCAATACAATAATAAAAAATTCATTTGATAAAACATCAAAGTACAATTAATACAAACTACTAATCATTTTATATCCTCAAATAAAATTGGAAGTAATATTTTTAACATTTCATGATTATGCCCCAATAGAACTCGCTGAGCCTTCTCTCGTTCTTGTTCTTGTGCAGCAGAGATGAACCCGTCATACATTGGCAGCTTGTTCAAGTCAAGTTACCGTAATATTTCCTGAGTCGCTGATATGAACCCTTCATATGAACCCTTCATATGTTGGTAGCTTATTCAAGTCCATCTGCAATGCCTTCTCTCTAGTGTTACATTCTTGTGTCTGTATATAAGAATCATATTATTCGTCGTATCATATATTGGTGAAAAGAAGAAAAAAAAATTGCACTTACAGACTCTCGCGGATAATTCAAATCTCATCCTTGATGTTTCACAAGTATGACAGCCAAATAAATGTATGAGTGTAATACTCAAGTATGACTGCCAAATAAATGTATGAGTGTAATCCTCAAAATGTAATTGACGTTCAGTAGATAATAAGATGATTTGGAGTTCAGTAATTAATAGAAGAGAGTGTAATCCTCAAAATGTAATTGACGATTCAGTAGATAATAAGATGATTTGGAGTTCAGTAATTAATAGAAGAGAGTTTTAGACGTGGTCAGTTAATAGGTAATAAGATGATTTGAAGTTCAGTAGTTAATAGAAGAGTTTTAGACGTGGTCAGTTATTTGATATAGGATGTGATAGTTATTATGCTTAATGGGTTATTCACTTAACCTATTTATTAATTACAACTCAATATTTATTAATTAATTACATCTCCCAATTTATTATTAACTTAACATATTTATTAATTACTACTCAATATTTATTAATTAATTACAACTTTCTATTTATTAACCTAACATATTGTGCGACTCAATAATTATTTATTAACTTTACGTTTATTTTTAAAAAAAATAAATTATAAAATTTAGTCTACCATATTTCAATTTAATTAGTTATCATACTTACAATATTTTATTTTAATATTATTAATATAACTGTAAATTGTATAAGGAAATACAAACCCAAAAAAAAGATGCTACAAGAAAATGAGTATCATATAGATGGTCGACACATAGGATTAAAATATATCTTAGTCCATAAAGAAAAGTTGTAGAAGAAACTAAATCATTAACTAAAAGATCTAGGAAAATTAGATATTCCATAGAGAAAAATTGTAAATGATCATTAATTAAAAGATCTAGGAAAACTAAATATTCCATAGAGAAAAATTGCAAATGAAATTAAATCTTTAATTAAAAGATGTAGAAAAACTAAATAATTCAAATAAAAAATATATGTACCAAAGTAAAAGCCAAAAATGACTAACCAGTCCGACATTTTCTTGAAGCAAAAATATGATTTAAGAAAATGTGTAATCAAGAAACATTATTTCAAGACATTTTCATGAAGTGCTACTTATGGCAGTATCAATTATATAATATATGATATATTATTATAATATAGAGTATAATATAATATAGTATAATATTTACGTATATTATTCGGTCGATTATGTTATTTTGGACATTTGATGTTCGAAACCAAAACCGACCGAAATAACTGAAATTTAATTCGACTACAATCGAAAACTGACGGAGTCGGATTCGGTCCGGTCGGTTTGTTCGGTTTTAGTCGAAATCTGAACATCCCTAGTGACAGCAGTGGTTGGACGATAAGAAATAAGTTGGAGTGAAGAACAAAGAGTTGAACGTGAGTGACCGATGGTTCTACTTGTTTTGCCCTTTTTGTTATGCTATATTGTTATTTCTGGCCCTTCTTGTTATGATAGTTCCTCTCACTCGTTAGGAATATAGAAAACCATTTCAATGGCTGGATTAGAAAAGTTCCTTTGGTATGCATAAAAAATGAAAAATGCAAAAATATTCTTAATTCTAATAATAAAAGAGCTTCAAAATAATAATAATAATAATAATAATAATAATAATAATAATAATAATAATAATAATAATAATAATAATAGCAACAAAAAAGAGTTTAGGCATGGCGCACCCACATCGTCGTGTCCGTCGAGGAGCGCCGAGAGCTCCTATGTGTCGATTTACCATTACAATGATTTTATTGTCCACCAAGACAAAATCGTAAGCGTTATAGAGTCTGACTAAGCCGAATTTAGTGTATCAATTAAACATCTATCTAAAGGAGTATCTACATGAGCCGGTAAAGTGATCTACTTCTCGAACTTTTTCTACATGACTTCTCGAACTTTTCGCTAAAAACTGGGGCACTGAGTTTAGCTCATTTAGTCCAATTTGTACGAATTTTACTCTAGTATTTGCGGCTTGTAAAGATAATAAATGAAATATTTATAATTTATATTAATATTATATAAATATGAAATAAGATAGAATTTTAAGTGTTTAAATTGAAATTTATGTTTGTAACATAATGAGTTCGTCACAAATTTCGTTACTAACACAAATACAATTGTTTGAAGTACATTCCGTTTCTGAAAGTATATTCCGTATCTAAATCCTTGTTACTATTGTAACAATTCAAATTCAGTTGCAAAATTTGGTTAGTAATAGACCAATTTCTAGTAGTGAACTCTGAGGCCCTAGAACAAAAGACTGCTGACTTACTCAAGCGCCTAGTCAGGTCTGGCGAGGAGACGAGTCTCAGCCCAGATCTTAACTCTAATCATCTTCACGCTGAAAGGGATAAACTAACGATGAGGGAGCATATCCATCAAGCTTCACCGGAGAAGCCCTGCGATCCGAGATGGTGAGTGCGAGGTGGAGGAAACTCCCAACAATGGACTCCTCCCCCCCCCCAAAAAAAAAAAAAACTCTTGCCCCATCTGTGTTGTCCCTCTCCATCAACATTGCAGCATCCTTCTCCAAGGAGGTTGCGGCTGCTGCTGCCTTAAGAGAAGATCAAGACTGCACCACCGGACGTGGCGATAGATCTGCTAAATATCTATTTTGTCGTCGGGGTTGGGTATAGGTGTTTCGTCGATGGGTTGGCATGAGCCACCACCGATCAGTCCGTCAAGCAAGCTTTCTCATAGTACGATGAAATTAAATCATTGTTTTTTTTAATAGATTTTGAAAAAAAAAAAAAATTACAGATCATCAATGATCGAGAGACGGGAATGTCGAGGGGATTTGGGTTTATCATGTTCAACAACGAGCAGGTGATGAGGTACGTGATCAAGGCCATGAACGGCAAGGAGCTCGATGGTCGGGATATCAGCGTGAATGAGGTGCACTCCCGCGCGGCGACAATGGTAGGTCGCGTCGTGATGCCTACGACAGTGGGTATGGTGGCAGCAGTGGCGCTGGTTATGACCGACATGAGGGTGGGTGTCGCGGCGAGTACGGAGAAGTGGCGGCGCAGCGGTAGTGAAAATTCCGTCCTCTATGTGTGTGCAGTGTGTGCGTGTGTGTGTGGGGAGGGAGGGAGGGGGCGAAGAACGTGAGGGATATGGATGGGGCTCACACTCATGTGTGAGACAAAATACAAAAAATACCCTTACTGAGTGAGGGGGCGAAGAACATGAGGGATATGGATGGGGCTCACGCTCATGTGTGAGACAAAATACAAAAAAATACCCTTACTGAGTGTACAATGTTTGAATTTTTTTATTTTTTTTGTCGTTGTATTATCAGATCTAACGACTATGATGCATTCTCATTCCTTTCACTTAGAACCATTCTTGCCGGAACTCATATCTACATTTACACACACACACACACACACACACACATATATATATATATATATATATATATATATATATATAATTATAGACAAAAAATTTAATGCACTTCGTAGCATCGATAAGATTCAGAAGCAATAAAATTGATTCAAACAGGAAATCCTGTAAGGGTTGGTATGTTCTGCCTTTCAGTTGGGCGGTTCGCAAGAAGGGAACATCTTCAAGATCCAACACTTCACAGAGTATTGAAACCTAAGAAAAGGGACCCCATAAATCACAATGTATAAGATCAAAAGGTTCTGATGCAATGGACAAACTATTGTCAAATGGTAATTTCTTATGTCTAGCATAATGACAATATCACAAGGCATATTGACAAGTTGTTTGCATTGAAGATTACAACATTCAGATAGAGTGGCAAGTTTATGAAAGGACAAGTGCCCTTATCTATTATGCCATATCTCAGAAGAAGAAGGAATAGCAACAGAAGTATCAATTACATGAGAATGATCAGGTGCATCAGATACATCAGTAGTAGTTACATCAGAAGTGGAAACATGAGTTCCAGAAACAACATTTGTAGTTTGTACATTATTAAAATCTGTAAAAGACAAATGATATAGGCCATTCTTTGCCTCAGCAGAACCAATCATTCTGTTGGTTTGCAAGTCTTGTATGTGACATTAAGATGAAGCAAAAGTGACAGAACAATTATTAGCAGTTAACTTAGAAACTGAAATGAGATTAAAAGTAAATGTAGGTACATAGAGAGCACTATGCAGTACAAGATTAGGTCCCAGGTTAACCTGTCCCACATGACATGCATATGCACTATGTTAATTAGGCAATTTAATAGCAATAGAAGTTTTTTAAGGAGTTGTACTAAAATATTTATAATCACAAATCATATGGTCAGTAGCACCAGTATCCAAAATCCAGGTTGTATTTGAAAATAGAGTATTAGTAAAACAAGAAAGTGAAGTGATACCTTGTTGTTATATATGAACAGTGACAGCAACAGGGGTGGACTCAGCCTGAGTCTTTCCCTGTTTCACAGCAATTAACTTTTTGTATTCTAGAAATTTAGCAAGTAAAGCATCAGTCATGGAAGGAGTGTTTGAAACAATATGTGTAACATTGACAGCATTGACAGAATGGTGTGAAGGATGGATTCTAGGGCCTTTAGGGCCAATCCAGTTGTCAGGGTAGCCAATCAGTTGGTAGCATTTCTCAGTTGAGTGATTATAGCTACAATGATCACACTTGACCTTTTTCTTGTCTTTAGGCACAGGGTTTTTGAAATATTTTGAAGGACCATGATTGGTTTTGACAGCCATAGCTACAGTCTCAAATTTTTTAGAAGCAGGTTTTTTTGACTCTCTTCTTGAAATAAGAGTGAATATACTTTAGACAGGGATGGAAAGGGAGAAGACAATAGAAAGTGACTGCGAAGAGAAGCATAGGAGTCATTGAGTTCAACCAGAAATTTCATGACAGAGTCAGTTTGTTGAGAAAATGACAGAGACGCAAAAAGATCACAGGAACATCGAGTCATTGCACCACATAATGATATACATTTAAAAACAGGTCTGTAAGTGATATACTCATCCCATAATGATTTGAAAGAAGTGTAGTACTGAGTAATCGATTGAGCACCCTGATCCATATTACTCAAGGATTTTTCCAACTGAAAAACTCTAGGGCCACTACTGAGGGCATAACGAGCCTTAATTTCATCCCATACACTTTGAGCATCAGAAAAAAAAATAGAAGAGACTGACGAATATCTTTAGCAATGGAGTTTACGATCCAAGACAAAACAAGGTTATTAGCACGGATCCATGCAATATGCTCAGGAGTATTAGGGTTAGGTTTTACCAGCGAGCCATCAACAAAGGACACCTTATTTTTAACACTCAGAGCCATAAGAACAGCGCGAGACCAAGCCACATAATTGTTGCCGGTGAACAGATCAGCAACGATAACGGCACCAGGACTATCACTGGCATGAAGATAATATGGAGATGATGGATTGTCAGTCGACGACACGGTAACAGGTGTCGTCATGAGTATTGGAATAGATCTGTGAATATCGGTATAGAAATCAAAATCCGGATCTAACAGAGATAGATCGAGATCGAAATCACAACATGACCAAGAAATAAATCGAGATTTGTCGTAAAGAAAAGAACAAGGTGAAGATGCAGCGGAAAAAGGAAATAACAGGACTGATATCAATCAGAACTTGGCGTATGATACCATATTGAAACATAAGCACATCATTTCATTGATGAACAAACATGATTTTGTACAAGAAATGAACGATTATCTGAGAGGAATCTTAAGAGACGAGAGAGGCGATTTTACAAAAAGGAGAAGAATGAAAAGTGGGCATCAGCTAACCCTAATCTCTTATTTATACCTATAGTACAGAATGGAATAACAGGGCTAAAATAGTCAAAGCCTATAATGTCTAATATAATATCTAATACAGAGTGATGCCAAGTCCATTCTTTCCCTATTGGACAGACAACTATCATATCAAGATCTCCGTCTACCGCACCTTTGTTTACCCTAAAGGGAGGGAGTAGACCGCTTATTCGGTTACTTCAACATATTGTTATATATATATATATATATATACAGGGATTAGTTCCAATGCATCCACTTATTTAAAGTGAGGACGTGAGACTCATTTTTAGCCACAAGATTTGGTACATCATGTGTGGCCAAGATTTACTCTTTTTTTTTTTTATTATTTTAATTATTTAAATATTATTTTGACCCGTTGACTCCCGCATTGACTGTTGACTTCCAGCGTTGACCGTTGACTTCCAGCGAAATCCGTTGACTTCTGACTTTGACCGTTGACTGCCGGCGTTGACTCCGTCGTTGACCGTTGACAACTAACCTTCCAACTAGTTTAGTTCTATTTAGTTGCTAGGCTAATTCTTTGTACTTGCTAGGTCAGTTGTCTGTAGTTGCTAGGTTAGCTGTCTGTAGTTGCTAGGTTAGTTCTCTATAGTTGTTAGGTTAGTTCTCTGTAGTTAGTTCTCTGTAGTTGCTAGGTTAGTAGTTGCTAGGTTAGTTGTCTGTAGTTGCTAGGTTAGTTCTCTGTAGTTGCTAGGTTACTAGTTGCTAGGTTAGTTCTCTGTAGTTGCTAGGTTAATTTCCTGTAGTTGCTAAGTTAGTAGTTGTTAGGTTAGTTCTCTGTAGTTGTTAGGTTAGTAGTAGCTAGGTTAGTTCTCTGTAGTTGCTATGTTAGTTGTCTGTAGTTGCTAAGAGCTGTCCGCATTTTAAGAGCTGGGCACATTTTAAGAGCTGGTTGCATTTGATTCGACCCCTATATATGCATACATACATATATATATATATATGTATATATATATGCATACATTTTATATCAATTTAAGTGAATCATATTTAATTATTCTATTGTATAATAATATTAACTAATTATAAATATAAGGAAGTTACTTATCAAGAATTTTTTTACCAATTATTTTAAAGATATCTATTCTGATATTAACATTATTTTTTCATTTCATTAAGAGATTGTTCTTTGAAATTAGCTAAATTATAAAAAATATATTATTTATTATAATTTATGTCTATAATATAGTGATTCAAATGTAAGTTATAAAATATATATATATATATAGGGATGCGCTCCGGTGAGAATGATTCTCAATGAAAGAAATAAGAATACATCTTGGCCATTGGATTGAGTGATCCAACAGATAAAATAAACTCAGCATTAATACATTCAATAAGGAGAATAAAGTAATTTCTCCACACAGCCCACTCCATTCAACACCTGCCATCCGTTTCTCTCTCTCTCACAGCCTGTCACACCCCCCATCTCTCTCTCTCTCTCTCTCACACACACACACAAAATCGAGACGGACGACGCACACACTCACACACGGCGGAGCACGGCCGCCGACCTCATCAGCTACATGGTCGTCCGGGCTAGATATCGTCGGCGACTCTGACCGGAAGAAGACCGCCGTCTAATGCCGCCGGAGTTCGTGGATATGACGGAGAAGCCAACCGTCGAGAAAGTCCCTTCAGCGAGTGCACTGTAGCGCCGGCCGTTGCCGCCATCCCCACCGTAGTGCCGCCGGTTGTTGGGCCTGCAACTCGAGGTGCAGAGGTGCCGACAGTCGGAATTTGGCCAATTTTTGTCGCCAGAGATAGTGAACGGAACGGCAGAGGTGAACGGCCACAAGGATCCGATTTCTGGCGCCGGCGACGGCGAGATGCGAGGATGCCGGGATTGGATGTGAACAGTAGGATTAAATATGTGGGCTTCATTATGAGAATTAGACAAATGTTAAGGACTTCAATGCAATTTTAATTTTTTTAGTTATATTGCAATTTAGGACATTCGGTGAATCTGGAATTTATTGAAAATTTAATAAATAAAACATTAATCACAAAAGAAAAACACATCATTTCGTATGGATATGCAAATTGAGCATACAAACACTACAAAATGCACAATATTGTTTTATGCTATGCACATTAATGTCTATGAGAATGCACAATAATGTATATTTTGTTCACAGGCCAGAGTGAAAATAATAAATAAAAATATATTGTTACGTAATTGAACATTTTCAAATGTATTAATGTACATTTAATTTATTGCTAATATTATTACTTTCAACATATACTATATAAAACATTAAATAACATGTTATATATAATAAATATACTTTTCATAGTAAAAATAATTTGATTTATATATAATTATATATTGTTTATTTTCAACACACATTAATATAAAGCTTATATAAATTTATAAATATTAAATATGTTTTTTGTATATAAATAATTTGATGTATGCACATTACTATTAATTACACACATTATTAAAGTTTTCTAAAATTAAAATGCACGTAAAAAAATAATTTGATGTATGCACATTAGTATTAATTACGCACATAATATATTTCTTTAATATAAAAATTAAAATACTAAATATACTTTTATAATAATAATAAAATATTTTAATTATTTAAGTTAACTCGATTAGTCAAACGAATAGTCAAATTATTTATAATTCAAATTTAGTTTAGATTTGCACATAAAAGAATTCGGACGAAATGCACAATAGTTATAAACATTATGCACGTAAGTGACTGTCAGACTGCACTATAGCGTTTGACCAAATGCATATTAAAGCTTTCGATAATGTACATTAGCATACCGATGTGCATTTTTTTACAAATATTAAAATCTATGTTGTTTCGTTCCGATTTCCACCTTATTTATTAAATAGATAACTAAATAAACAAAATAACAAAATCGATCAAATGATACAAAAATATTAATTATATTTTCAATATACATATATTATTTTATTTCCAATAAAAAAATAATGTAAAAGTATTATATAAAAAAATTTTAAATGCTAGATATATTTTTATTATTCAGATATTTTAGTAAATAAATAATATGTATATTATTAAAGTTTTATAACATTGAAATGCACATGAAACATTAAATTGTAAAAGAAAAAAAAAACTATTTACTTAATATACTGCACAATAATGTTAGACCAAATGCACATTTGTGTATATAGGAGTGCACATTATTGATTTCGATATTTTGTATATTATGTTTTTCATTCAATAATAATTTTATATTCTGATCGATTATCTGTTTTTACTTTCAATTTTAAAATGCTAAATTAAAATTTATAAATAGAAATAATATTGTAGTTCGGTTATTTTGATTAAATTAGATAATGAACCGAATAAATTGATCATTTATGTTTATTTTTAAATTAGTTTGTAATAAAAATATTCTCAGTTCAATTATTGTATGCTATAGTGCACATTAGTGACCAATGCCGTGCACAACAGTAGTATACAAATTGCACATTAATGTATCTCAGAGACTCAGACTGCACACTTGCAATCGAAATTAACGCATTTAAATTTTTCAATTCGAAACTTTATATGTTGGTTTGATTACCGTTTTTTAATTTTAAAATTTCAGTTATATTAGTTCAAAGTTGACTTTATTTTTCTTATCAATATTTATATTTATTCAGTTTTTAATAATATAGTATAAATATTTAACTCATTTATGAAATTGTATTATAATTAAAGTTCTTCAAAATACAAATTAGTCCCTATATTTTATCCAATTTGCATAAAAGAGTCCCACATCAATTTCACCCCTTTTAAGATTTCACAAACTGCAAGTCTGCAATCAATCTACATCCTCAGCCAAAAAACAAAAAATTAAACTAAAAAGTAAAAATTCTGGTTGTCCCTCTCTGCTCCGTGCAGGTCGCCGTCATCGTGTCCAGACTAAATCGGGGCTGTCGGAAGCGGTGGTGGCGAGGTCGTTGACGGGCGGCCGGATGGTAGGTGACGATGGTGGCGGGTTGTCGCGAATGAGTGGCTGGTCTCGTCGGTGATTTGAGACCGGCGACGCTTGAGGTGTGGTGCTTTGATGGACGGGCGGCGAAGCTTGGATGGCCGTCGTCTCTTTGAAGGCCAGTCCGGCGGCGACGATTCGATGGCCGGGCGGTGGAGATGTTAAGGTCGGGCAGCAGAGATGTTAAGGTCGGCGGCGAGAGACTGCTGGCCGGGTGTGTGTTCGTGTTATATGTGTGTGTAACAGTCTGTGCTGTGTGTGAGGGATGAGAGAAGAAGTTGGTGAAAGGTCACTGTGTGTTGTGTGTGAGAGATGGGCATATCGGGTAGGTGACGATGGGTGAATTGTTGGATGGTGGGTGTGGGTCCCATTGGATGGGTTAACTTTGTTTATGGTGACTAATTTACCCTTAATTAATGGTCAAATACATATATTTGACAATAATATTACTACTTATTTACTAAATTGCCATTAATGATTGACCATTATTTATTAAAGTTTGACTTGATCATAGTCATTGATGGGATGGATCCGGTGGTCCAGAATCATTCTTATTTCTTTCATTATGGCTCATTCTCATTTGAGCACACTTCTCATTTGATCATAGTCATTGATGGGATGTTTATTTTTACTAACTGTCAAAAATTTAAAATGTGTTACATTCACTATCTAACTTATAACTATAAATATTTTATCCATACATATAATGTATCGTATTTTATTTGTATTTGTGCATACACTACGCCAAAAAAGGCTTCAGATAGCGCTTTTTTTTTTGCTTCAGATAACGCTTTTAAGCGTTATCGGAATCAGTGTTATCTGAAGACCGATTCTTCAGATAACGCTTAAAAAGCGTTATGTGAAGAACCTTTCACATAACACTTTTTTATATTAAGCGTTATGTGAAGAATCTTTCACATAACACTTTTTTATATTAAGCGTTACGTGAAGAATCTTTCACATAACACTTTTTGTAATAAGTGTTATCTATAATATTGATCAGATAACATTTTTTAACAGAAGTGCTATCTGATATGATGATAATATATAACACTATTATAAACAAGTGTTATCCATGTGTATTTTTTTTATGTTTTTTGTGCTCGTATTTATTAATCCCTTTATCAATACACAAGAACCAAATGACTAAAATCATATACTCCACCAAGAAGCAAGAACCAACAAGAAAACAACACAAAGATGAATATAACAAAAACTTACTAACACAATCCACCAATTTTAACATTGTGCTTGTGTATGAACAAGAAAATAATGTAGCACAAAATCATGAGAGAATCGTATCTCCAATTCCAACAAATCAAGTAAAACAACTAATATTCCTAGTAAAAAATTCGTCCACTATTAGCCAATATCCAGAACAAGAAAGTTTTGATGGCATCCTCCAAAAACAACTAATATTCCTAGTAAAAAATTCGTCCACTATTAGCCAATATCCTGACCAAGAAAGTTTTGATGGCATCCTCCTGCAACGCGAAAGTTATACATATCTTGATATCAAATTTAAGTCATTTCACCACAATTTATAAACAATATATAAAAGAAAATGTAATTGAGTATAACAAAATACATACCTGTTAAGTACGAAAATAATGCGTATGTATCTGCCACAATTACAAAACGACAAAAACAAAAAAAAAAAAATCATCTCAATCATTATCTATTAATTCTATTTCGTAATAGATTTGAAATTTAACACAACAACAACAACAAACGAATCGACACTAGTAGAGTTTTTACCTTACACAACTCTGAAGAACATATTGAGCTCATTCTTCCCGAACTTCATTTACTTTCACCTCAGATAATTGAACGCACTAGTAATAACGAAAGTACTACAAAATATAACATAATTAGTTACAGTTTAACCAAAATACCCAAAAAAATGAGTGGGTAATAAAATGACAAAAAAATGAGCTCAAATCTAGAATGTATATCTCCTAGAGATACCTTGTGAGCAATCCTTGAAAAACAAATTACATGCATCACTAGGTTGCCATTCTGCTAAAATAAATTCAAATCAAACTGAAATTCTGAAGCTGCAAGACAAAGGTCCAACCCAATACAAGAAACAAAAGATATGTGGAGTGAGAATAAGATAGAGAAATAAACATTTAAAAGAACAACAAAATTCTGATTTTAATCACGATGAATGAAATGCATAATACATCAGAGCATTAGGAAATTCCAGCTTCCAGTAATGTATATGAATTTCTCTATTTACAGTACAGAGGTCTCTAATTCATTAATAACTAACATATTCCTATTGAAATGATTCATGAATGAACCATAGCAATTATTGGAAAGGATCACTAATAAGAATAAAAAGAACCAAATTAGCACTTACCTGGTTGCTTAAGATCACGCAGCCTGTCATCATAATGGATACAATACTAGAAATTGAATCATCACATAAACATCGATAGGTGATGCACGAATCACCAATCTAAGACCAAAGAGTGAAAATTGGAGTACTCGAAGATACCGATGGCAACATGGTATTTATCTCTGAAATTGCTCGGTGTCAACGAATTTCATTGGATGCATTTTTTCAAGTAGTGATGGATGATAATGACCTACATATGAAAATAAAATTTAAGTATCAATCATTATAGATAACTTCAACAGTGATAAACCAAACACACAAAGCTCCCAAAGATACACATACAGGAAAATTCAAAATTCCAGCAATTAGGAACCAAATTACTTAAATGAAAAAATTATTAGAAACAACACAGAAATAAAATGAAACAACACAGATAATTAAATTATTAGAAACAACACAAAAATATGAACAAAATATTACACTCAAAATCGAAACAACCAATGAAAACACCAAAACATAGACAACAACAACAATCCATAGCAAACAGAGAATGAGAGATAACATGAATAAGAAAAATAAAACACATAACACAGAGCAAAAGCTGCAAAACACATGCACAGAGACATAAATGACAGCGTTACCAATCGTGATAGATGCTGTTATAGACATCGTCATTTACATGCTTGGAGAGTCTCAGATCTTGAGAGCTTGTGAAACAGTAATTTGATGAAAACGACAACTCATCGTTGCAAAATGCTACCATTATCAGTCTTCTGCTTCGTTCTTCTAAGCTATAAATTAGAAGAAAAGTAAGACATCTCATCTTATCTTAAGTGTTGCGTATGATCTTTCTTTCTTTTAACATAACATTGCTTGCTCGTTGTACACTTACTAGAAAGACGCCATCATAAGCATCCACGAGAATTCGTTGGCATATGGATAGGCAACCCATTTGGGGGCTACCATTGGCAGCTGAAAGTCGAGAATTTGGATACAAAGGCTCACCAATTCATCAACTAGTTTACTCGAAATTCCTTCGAAAAACAATGCCTAAAAAAGCTAGTCCAAAAATCGAAGAAGGAAAATGGAAGACCCTCAAATAAATCAACTATCCTACTTGCAACATGAAAAATTTAGAACGAATGAAGAAAAAAAAACCAGATAGATCATATCATAAGAATCCTTGTTGCTGTACAATTCACTTAATTCTCTTCCAATAATCTGACCTAGTTACCTCGATTTATACCTCCATATCACTCTAATTTTTTTTATTTTGAAAAAATTAAAACAACTAATCAGCACAGAACTTTACAATTAACTAAAATCAGCAGCAGAAAACCACGTTATTATGAATTGAATTCTAAAATTATATGTGCGCATAATAAAACTCAGAACTGAATTCTATATATATATATATATATATAGAGAGAGAGAGAGAGAGAGATTTACCAGGGTTTTGGGCTGGGTCGAGCCGACTGGCTGAACTTGGCTTCGAGCTCGGGTTTTCCCAAATTGATGACCTGCAAGACGAAATAGCCGATGACCCCCGACACCACGCCGCACACGGTAGCGAAGGTCGGGTAAAAGGGTTTGGAGTCCCTCGTTTTCGCCACCAGACACTGCCATGGGGGGCTATTCTCCCACGGAAATGACATTTCACATCCTTCTTCTGTCTTCTCCCACGAAATGCCTCCGGAAGAGGGTTCTGGTATAATGAGTCCTAGACTCCTACTGCGGTGGGTCAGTTCTGAACTTAGAGAAAAGGAAGATATAAATTAAAAAACACGACATATTTAGTGGGCAGTTGTTATTCACATAATACTTTATAAATAAAGCGATATTTATTGTTCTCTTTATACAGCGCTTGATATTTCAAGTGCTATTTAAAAGTCTTGTTGTTTTTACATAGCACTTTTTTTAAATGAATGCTATGTAAAAAGTGTTATGTGAATCAATTTTTGGCGTAGTGCTTAATGGAGCCTCAATTTACAGCTAAAGCAACTTATTACTGTAGTTGACATTAATGTAGTTTTCTCTATACCTCTTGGCTAGTAGCCCGAGAAGTAATGAACCTCGTGCTAGTACGAAAAATCCAAAATTAATTTAAAATAAATTTTCAATTAATATATCTATTAAACATCGCTCCAAAAAGTTGTATATATGGTCCTTCGCAGTTGAGCAAGTTGATATCTAAAAGGAAAAAAATGGCAATTTCCAAATTTCCTCACGTACAGACCGTCAAGATGAATCTAATTTTGCTTGTCAATTAGGAGTTCAAAATGTCACATGGACATTGAATATGCGATCTTGACTACCAATTATATGATGAATCAAAATATGCCATAACTATAATAGTCTTTGTGATTGGCTATTCATCTTGAAATGATGCGTTGAGGGAAGAAATTTGATATTATTGACGTACATATAAATATTAAAATATAGCACATAATGATCAACTATTGTTCATAAAATAAACTACAAGGATATACGAACAAATACAATTAGACTAAAAGTGTACCATGGACTCGCAACTATTGAAAATGGAAATTATAATATATATATCGGTTGCACAAATTTGTTGGCCAAAAAATGAAAATAAAAATAAAAATCGGTCCGCAATCAATTTTACCAATATAATATGGGTTTTGCCATTGGAAAAATTGGTTGGCAATCAAATTTATCATTAAAATGCTAATGAATTTCGCTGTTGGCAATATTTTGCCTTACCCTTGAGAACAGATAATCCGTCGAAAAATACTAATGATTTATCAAATGGATTGCGTCGATTTGTCACATGGGCATTTAGCCAAGTCCGTCTTGATTTACTGAATCCGGGAGCTCGTCACAATGGAGAAGCGCTGCTTGAGGTGATCCCACCGATCGATGGTCTCTTCTTTTTCAAAAATCATAAAACGGAGTGAGGGATCGATGACCTTCAATAACCAAGTAATTAATGATTGGATAGTCCACTAGTCATCCAAGTTAGATGACTTGTTTAGTTTCTTCAGAGATCGATCAACGAAACCGAACTTCTTTCGAGCCCGAAGGGCCATACAGACGATCTTCGACCATTCGTCGTAGCCCCCTGTAAAAAAACCTAGGTGATAATTAAGGAGTCCACGATTGTCGATTGAAGTTATGTCGTAAAGAGAAATAATTTTGTGTGCTGCAATCTCGACGTCAGGCTCGTCTTGATCCTAACTCCCGTGGTCAGACATGGTAGATTGCAACCAACGCCAGAAATCGCGGGCAAGAGCATGGCACACTGGGACTCGCGGGCGGCTGGTACTTCGCGGGCGCGGATTGAAGAACTCGTGGGCACGGGCAGGCGCAGCTCGCTGGGAACTCGCGGGTACTGATAGGGTTCGCGCGCACGGGCGCTGGAGATGCGGACTCGCGGGCTAGGCCGTCTTCGCGGGCGCGGATAGGAACGCTCACGGGCTGCGCGGTGTGTAGGTGGGGACTCGCGACCTCGCGAGTTTCTTCGCGGGCGCAAAGTCCCTGAACTCGCGAGCAGGGTGGCACTTCGCGGGCGCGTGGGCGCAGCGCGCAGGGGCTCGGGTCCAGTCCCGGTCATGGCCTCTTAATGCTCGATTCAATCTAACTTCTTGCACACTTTTCCGATTGACTCGAAACTTTGACCCACGCTCCTCAAATATTTTTCTCCTCGTCTTGGAATGCTCAAATCGATATCACCGCGCAATTAATATATATGCTTGGAAATGGTTCGCGTAGCTCGGACATGATTCGGACGGCTCGGAAATGTCTCGAAAATGGCTCGTCTCCCTAAACTCGGATTTTGTGGACTTAAACAACACCAAAAAGACAATAAAAAATACGCCGAACCATAAAAACACAATACAAGAATAAAAATGCACGAAACACGATAAAATGGACCAGTCGACACTAAAATGAACCTAAAAAGACTAAACTAAAGCACATAAAACACACGAAAAAAAGCTTAAAAACACAATAAACAACTCTCCCACACTTAACTCTTTGCTTGTCCTCAAGCAAACAAAACAACAAGTAGCTCAAAAAGAAAATTGAGAAGTCCAAAATTAACGAGCATGCAAAATGAAACTCTCATCTTCATCCGAATGTCCATTAAAATCAAAATCCAATTCGAAAACACGTTCCCCACATAGTGAATCCATACAAAACAAAAACCCATTGCAAGTTATTCTACACACGATTACTCGATTCAAACTCCCTTTTTCTACATACACGTGCAAAAAACTATAGATAGTCTACTAAACGTATAAACATCATAAGCATGAAACCAATAAGCCAACTCCCATTCTTCTTTTTCTTTTTTTTTCTTCTTTTTTTCTTTTTCTTTTTTTTTTTATTATGTGATCTTCTTTTTTCAAACGAGGTTTCCTAGACAATNTTTTTGAAGGGAGTGGCACACAAGGATACATCACAAATACAATATCATGAACATCACAAATCAATCAAAACGTACCACAAGTGTATAGCATAACACGTTTACAATAATCAAACATAATATAAGTATGTCTCAAGATCATCAATCGAGAACAAACGAGGGACAAAACAATTCCGTGAATTCACATGCGGGTTCCCATGTTAACGAATTATCATTCAATTTTAGGACATCGTCCAATTCATCAACTACATAAAGCATGAACGTTAATAGCAGAACCAATCAACCATCTCAACTCACAACTTAGCCATCTTGACACTTGAACTAACATCAAGCTTCATGCGGGAGAGAGGTGACACAAACACACAAAGACTCAAACAAAACCGGTCCACAACACGACGAATACGAAATATAAAGCACCTAAAATGAAAGAAAAAACCGCCTAAGCCTGCATAATCACGAAGATCCCTCCCCCACACTTAAAACAAAGCAATGTCCTCATTGTTTGACCAAGAAGCATAAGAAAAGGGACACACAATCACACAAGCTCATGCGATGAACAAACGAAAAAAATAAATAAATAAAAATAAGAAAAGGAAGCAAGCACGAACACACAAGACAAAGAACTAAGAGAAAAATAAAATAAGGAAAAGAATGTGCATACTCTACACGGTGATGCACCACCGTGTGTCTAATGGTGTTCGTCCGGTGGGAAAAGATCAATAATCCGAAAGCCATCGAGTGCAAAATAAAGCCACCCGAGTGAGGCCATATGTATGTGTCTCGGAGAGATAATAACCGGTAATCCACAAACTCGACAAAGACACACGTTTGCGTGAAAGCTCGAGAATTGGGCCTCTAGCCCCATAATAATACTCGCCATGGCATGTCCCGGCCAACTTGTCAATCAAAGCATAACCTCAAGCTCAACCGAACACTAATGATATAGTCAAATTCAAGTCAAACGTCAAAGTTCTCCGCATTCCCCAATATGATCAACAAGAACTCCGAACGAACCTCACACCGAAAGACAATGGCCAAAATCCTCCAAATTTTCAATATAAGTTCATAAACCCCCGAGACACTTAGTACATATCACCTCCAACTCAATAAAGTCACGCCCAATTCAAATACATATGGCACAAGTAGGTCTAAGTGAGGTACCTTGTAAAACGATGATCTCGATGTCAAGAGTAAAAAAAATCGGGCAATGAGTCGTGTCCAAGCTCCAAGAGAGTGAATAATGTTTTGTAGTATTTTGAGGATAGTTGGTAACCGAGCTACCCGACCTCGAGTCGTTCTCAAAGGAAGACGGTTCGGAGCTTCGTTCACCACTCAATTGTCCAAATCACACAAAATGGAAAAATAAAAGCTAAACATGCTAATCAATTTGGATTGGGAATGGATTAACACTAATTGCACGAGGAAGTAAAAACGACAATCAACGAGAGAGTAACGCAATTAACACTATCGGAGTCTCTAAGCCATCAACATCAAACGAAATCAACAACGAGAAGTATGCAAGTTCTAACACTAGATCACTAACCCCAACCTTCTAGCCTAAGTGATTAAGCTCTAAATAGAGTCCTAACCCTTAATCTAGATAGGCAAGCAATTAGTCCCTACTAAAACAAGCATAAACAATGATCAAGTCCAAGCATATCCTCCATCATCAAACAAACACTCAAATTCACCTTGAAAAATTCCATAAGTAAAAACGAGGCAAAAATCGAAGTAATGAGCTTTAAAAGTAAATATCCAATCTTCTATTGTGTGCTAGACGAAAATTGGAGTCAAAAGCTCGGAACTTGAACAAAATAAAACTCGCCGGAAAACTTGCCGGAAAATGATGTCATAGAGCTCCCAAGAGAGAGAAGAGAGAAAACTAAAAAGAAAAGCTTAATTCATAAAATGGGAAAAGTGACAAATGAAATCTAGATGTCCAAAATACAAAGGGCCAAAATGAATTTATAGTGCAGCTCAAAACACACACTAGTTTCACGCACATTTAATGAGAGATACTCTCGAGCTGGCAGAAATTTCCGCGGGTCGCGGACACGGATGGCACGGGGTGCGACACGAGACAGGCTTGGTGCGGCGCGAGGAAGAGCAATGCTCTCGAGCTAGCGGACGGGCTCGCGCGTGCGGACGGTTCAGGAAGCCACTACTCTCGATGTGGCGCAGGTGCTCGCGCCCGCGGACAACACGGAAGAAACACTCTCGACCTCGAGAGTGGTTCCGCGCGCCCGGACGTGTAGGTCAGAGGCA